TATTTTGTGCCCATTTGCTTTTCTTCTTTCTGGTTGTCTGATAGTAATATCACGGAAGCTGTTGTGGGTGGGTTTATTATAATGATGTTTATTGTCTAGAGGTCTCTGTGAGGCTGTTATCTGTTCCTTCTCTTGATTTGGGGATCATGCCCATTCTCTGGCCAATGGGGCTTGTATATCCCTTGATAGCTTTGTTTCTTCTCCGGCTCCTCTGCTTTTTGACCCAAGGACATAGACAGAATAGTTTCTTGGGTTAGAACTCATGGGGGGCAGTTTAAGCTATTACTGGAGTCCTGAACCAAAAGTCTTGACTTCAAAAGCATTCCAGGAGACCGGGTTTAGCCACTCTGGTAATGTGATTGGCAGAGAGGCAAGTGGTGGTGGAACACAATACAGTTAATCAGTATTGCCCAACTTTGCCAAGGAACAGGGGCTCTAGGTACTGGCTCTGTGGCGATAGAGTGGAAGAAATAGAGTAGGACAGCAGAAGTCCACGGAGCCCAGCAGACTTAGTCAAACTGTGTGACATGAGTTTACAGGATCTCAACACTGATTTTGTGGGGTGCCGCCAATGCATGAGGGTGGTAATTTGGTTTCTGTGCTGGGATGGTTGCCTGGAAATTTCAATGTTTTTGGAATTTCACATAAGCTGGGGCCAAGGAAGAGGGTGAACGAGCTAACAAAAGCCAAACAGTCAGGACATTGGCTGTGCTTTCCTTCGGGAAAGCAAATGGCAATGCAAAAAGGGGCCCTGCTATGCTGGAACTCTGGAGGTGTGCTCAAAGAACTCCAGAGCTCAGATCCAAGAGCTTGAGGGAACCCTGCTGCCAACTTGCACTCTACTGAGTAAGCAAATGCTGCTTGCTAGGAAACACTGGATTTCGCGTATGCGCTTTTTTTTTTTTGTATCACACGGCATTATGTAGCAGTAGATAATCTATGCTATAAATTATTTATGTCTATAAATTGCCTATTTTATAAATCCCTTAGAATCCATTTTAATGTGGATTCAATTCGTTGGGCATTCAGACTTTTAATCTTTCAGGGCTACTTGTTTGCTACTCTAGGAGAGCTCAGGTGCGTTCTTCTCATTCACATTTTGCTGTCCTTTTTGTCATTGAACATTTAAGTTGATTTCTTTATACACTTCTTCATCAACTTCATGATGCCAAATTTGCAGTGACCTCTAGAATTTCCGATTCTCTTTTTGTAACATGTTTGTTTGGAGGACAGGGTCCCACCGATTCTCCTAATGTGACTGTGAACTCATGTCCAGTCTTCTGCCTTAGCATCCAAGTTTCTAGCCATGAGCGATGCCAAGCTTTTCTTTTATGGATGTTTTATGCCGGTTTCTGTCTCATGTCTTTTACAGATTTATTCCTTTATTTAACTCTAAAAATATAAAACCCAGGGCTGATGAACAGTTAGGAAAGCACTTGCTGCACAAACGTGGGGGACCTGCATTCTACCCCCAGCAGCCACACAAGAGTCAAGCCCGGCAGCACTCTACCTAGAGTCCCAGTGCTGAGGAAGCAACAGTAGCACAATTTCTGGGGCTTGTTAGCCAAACCAGCCAGTCCAGGTTCAGGAAGAGACCCTATCTCAAAATACAGGCAAAGAAACTGAGGAAGATTCTTGATGCCAACCTTTGGCTTCAAAATGTGTGCTCACCTTCATGCATAGGCACGCGTGTGCACATCCTACCCCCCCTCACCACCACATGCGTGTTCTTTTTTAGGGTAGAAGTTAGTAGGATGTCGGGTGTTTTGATTCAGGATGAACTGCCATGTATCATTCAATTTTATTTGCAATTTTCTCTTTTTCTTGATTCTGATACTGCCTTGCTTTGCCATTGTTGTTTTCAATGGTCTTCCTTGCTGGGTAGCTTGGCGGGGGGTGGTGGTGGCAGGGGCTTCAGTTTGCCAAATCTTATAATGATGGCTCAGAGGTCTTGCTTTACTGAAATATAGGTCTATTACTATCGATGTGTACATGGCAAGATTAGGAAGAGCCAAAGAAACAGGACAGATTTAAAGAAACCAATGCACAGACTTCCTTAGGGCTATTGTTTTCCACAAGAAGACACATCTCATGTGTTTCTTTCCCTAGCAGTGAGACAGTGCAGAAGCTATGTTGATTATTTCTGCCAAGGGAAACCCACTCGCCACTCAGTGCCTGGCTAAGCTCCCTAGAGGCACTTTGAAAAGCTGCCCTAAAGGTGATGGGACGGAGGAGAAAGAAAGCCATCCTTTCAGTCCTGGAGAATCCAAGGGTTTCAATTCAGGTGTTGACCACATTGGCTGCTCGTGAAGAGCTGGAGGAGAAGCCTTCCCAGGACAGTTTTGGGTGGCCAGCAAGTTTGAATCTCCTGTAGACAGATTGCCCCGCTATCTGCCTCTTATCCAAGGCCTTCCTTTTTTTTCTGACATCTGTTTTACTTTTCCTTTACAATAATAACCATCATTCCTTAATTTAGAATGATTTCATCCCCAGGCACTTAATTACATCTGCAAAGACTTTTCTTTTTTTTTACCCAAATAAATCACATTCACGAGTTTTAGGAAGTTAGGAGTTGAACATGAATTTTCAGTGGTGGTGGGGGGCACTATTCAATTGATTACAGTGTCTGAGGTTTTTACTGGGAAAAGACCCACACGAGCAGCCCTGTGGTTTATTGCGTACTAAAACACCACACTCGCAGAAGAAAAGCCTTTGTTCACTATAACTTACATTATTTGAATAAACAGTGCAGGCAAGTACCGAGTGTCATACACTTGCTGCCACACAAGCGTTCTACTTTGTAAGTAGAAATGAGTACTGTTAGCTCCATAAAAATCTGTCTCAGGCCAGGAGCATCCCACACATCTTCTTTCAAGGTGGAACTTTTGGATGGAACCCTTTTGGAAAGCCCTTATTCTCTGTATCCAGAGTACAGAGTCAGGCAGCAGCATAACTGGACACTCTTTCATTTGAGAATAAACCCATCTCCACGGGAAGCTCTCTCTAACCCCACACAAGCTACCCAGGAGCCATGATGTTGTTATAATTCATGGTCCCATTGGAGAGTGTGCTAAATCTTCAACAGTCCCAGAGTCTGAGTTTAGTTCATTGATCAGAGGAATATATTTTGGCTCATGGGATCATTAGAGTTTCAAAGGCTGAAGCAGCCCAAAGCAGGCACTATTAGGCTTCGGCTAAGGGCTAGATATGAACAACTAGGATCTTGTTGTTCAGAACTTCAAAATGGCTTTTTTCTACTACAGTAGCAAAACCAAGACACAATTGTGGTAGATAACCACATTGAACGTCAAAACTAAGAGGCTCTGCTATGATCTCTCCTGCTCTCTGTCTTTTTTAAAAAAACCCTTTTTGGAGGTTCCAAATTGAGCCACTCTATAATATGCTGGGAAAGCATCAGCCTTTAAGGGTCAGACGTTTGATTTGAACAAGAACTCATTAGCAGCCTGAAAAACGCGTTTCAAAACCACAAGAGTGGATTTTCATTCTTTACCTATTTTCATGTTTTCTCCCTCTCTCACAGAGGCTCCAGTAGGCAAAATCCATAATGCAGCATTAGCTATGAGGATTTGTCCTATTTCCAATATTCAAAGTGTTAAATTCAGTTGACCCACCCAGGCATGGCAGAGAACAAAGGGGTTTGTAACATGATTTTTTCCTTTGAAGCTTTCCTCTCTACAACATTTATGACATAATCTTACCCTTACAATTCATTTTTATCATGTGTGTGTAAAATAGGCATGAAAGATGAAGTCATTTCATTTTTTGAGGCACGTTTTGCTTCACCCCTTAGCAGTGAATTCAGCATTTACAGGGTTAAGGTTACAGCTACTAGGGGATATTTGCTGGCATGCAAAGAGGTGGACATGGTACAGTTAGGCAGGGGAAAGAGCTTGGACTTTTGTTTGGGGTAGAGAACAGTTAACCAGACAATTTGTACTCAAGGTTCATCTTTGGGAAGACTTGGGCCTCTTCTGTTTGAAGAAGAACTCAAAAGTCAAAAACATTACTTGAGCATCTTCTTTGTCTTCATCTTAGCTAACATGGCCCAAGGAAACCAGTGAATCCAAAGATTTCACGTCTCTTGGGGGTAGTATTTAAAAATTCCTATCAATAATCCACCTTTTAAAATAAATAAAAAGTCAGCTATCACTTTGACCATGGGTGATTTCCTAAGCATCCAAGCACTAGAATTAAGATCAGGTCTCTTTCTTCTGCTTTCCCAAATGATTCCTTAGCCACAGTGAATGGCATTTGTGCTAGGGAGTCCCAAAGCCATGGTGGTTTTAGCGACCCTCAAAGCTATACACATTTGGAGGTTGTGGGTCCACTCACAGGACCTAGCATGTAGTTTAAATCATAACTGAAGTTCATTGTAGAGAAATATGTGACTCAACCATCATAGAAAAACCAGTGACTTCTAGAGAAACACAAATGCTCTTTTTCTTACTTGAGGCTCATCAGATGAGTGCTCACTTGTGTGTTTTATTAGTGAAAACTGTAGAAATCCATGTAGACTGTTTGAACCTGAAGGATTATACTACAGCGTCGAGTAAAAGACCCCCCCCTTTCTTTTGGAGTATCGATTGTGTAGACACCTGCAATTTAGCTGATATACATGAAACAGTCACTTAGACATGCTTGTCATGTAGGCCTACAGGTAGCTAATATCAGGAAGAGAGCCTGACATTAGTGTCTGCATTTTATCCCTGTCTCCTTTACTTTGGCTCCAGTCACCTTCGGTTCTTGAAACAAGAGAGCCTCACAGGACACATCTCTTTCCACAGATGAGGGCAGTTCCCTATGAAGGGGAAACTCTGTTCACAATGCCCTGAGAATCACCTTGTCCCCTCAAGGAGCCAGGACTTCCATGAACCTTTGTGTGAGGTTGAAATTGAGACAATGACCATAGAAACTGCATCTAAAGCAAGACTGTTTAATTATGTATCTACCTGTATCATTCCTTTGACCCAGCTCTCCCTCTAGTTAAGCCTAAAGTTCATACTTGTGTCTCTCAGTGACAAATTTAGCATATTAAGAGCTGTGTTACTGCTGTCTTCATTGTCACCTCCATCAGGACATTTCATCTTGACAATCTTCACATCTGGTAGACTATCAAGAAATGCTTTGAGATCGATGCCATTCAGAACTATCCGATTGTCATAAATGTGCCCATTGGATTTAAAATCGATGACTGCTTTTTTCTTCAGGTGAGGGAACATATTAGCATGATCACCAATATAAAAAGTATGAGGCATGTAAGCCAGTTTCTCAGAATACTGTTCTGCAACTTCAGCTGGGGAAGTTTCCTGATCAGTGATGATATAATCCATAAACAGTGCACCACTAGTCCCAGGGTATCCCAGCCACATTGCCTGAATAGGAGCTGGCCTGAGAGCAAAGAGCTCATTTCGAGCCCCCTTGGTATACCCATTCATATTTACAAGGATGTGAATTCCATCTTGGTGAATGTGGTCAGCTGCTTTTCCATTGCACGGAATCTGAGAAAGATCAATGAAATGATTGGCTTCTGCCATGACCTTCACTCGGAAGTTTGTACCGTCATCTGGGCTCAGGGCATAACAGAACACCTCAAATTTATCAGGATTGTGCAAGCCTGGAATAGACTGCATGAGGTGAGAAGTAGGGTGATTCCCAAAGTCAGAACTCACATACCCTACACGTAACCGGCCATCACTGAGCTTCAAGTCTTTTGGATGCTCATATGGTGGTTTATGAAGGACATTAATCTTATCCAAGCAGAGATTCCCATGCCTCTCTGCAATAGCCTTCCTGAAGCCATGAGAAAGAGGGTACAGCATGCTGTGATGAGGATGCACAGAAGGCAGCCTATTCTTTTCTAGCTGCTCAGCTACAATACTAACCAATTTCTTCATTCGCTCATCATAGTCTGTCCAATCACAGACAATCTGTAGGCAATGAGCCAAATTACAGTAGGCATCAGGAAAATCAGGCTTAAGTTTCAGAGCTGTGCGGTAAGAAGCTATTGCTTCTGGGATATTCCCTGAATCCTTGTGAATGGAAGCCAGATTGCCGTGTGCATCTGCAAAGGCAGGATTAATCTGGATGGCACGAGTATAACACTGCAAGGCTCCCTGAACATCCTGCATCTCCTTTAGAGTGTTTCCCATGTTAGAGTAAGCATCAGCAAATGTAGGACTGATTCGTATGGCTTCCTTATAATGCATCAGTGCTTCCTGCAGCTTCCCCTGTTGTTGCCGTACACTTGCTAAGTTGGAATGTGCAGCAGCAAACTCTGGGAAGACTTCTAATGCTTTGCGATATAGGCGGACCGCCTCTTCAATATTGCCCTGTTCCCACTTGATAATGGCGAGGTTATTCAAAGAGTCTGCATGGGTAGGACACAGACGAAGAGCTGTGTTATAACAATCTTCTGCTTCAGCAACGCTGCCCTTCTCTTTGAGTGCATTTGCTAGGTTGCAGTAAGCATCTGGGAAATGTGGCTGCAGTTCTATAGCTCGTCTGTAGGTATCGATGGCCAAGTCTATTAGGCCTTGCTCACAGTACACACAAGCCAGGTTGCCATGCACCACTGCATGATTTGGGCTCAAAATTAAGGCACGAAGATAAGCTGCTACAGCTCTGTCAAAAATGCGTGCCTCTTTCAAGACATTTCCTAAATTGATATAAGCATCCAGAAAATTTGGGTCAAGGGTGACAGCCTTTTCAAAGTGATGAATTGCCAGCCAAATCTCCCCTTGTGCATTGAAAACACAGCTGAGATTACTCCAAGCTACTGCAAAGTTTGGTTGCGTCTCAATTGCTTTCAAATAACATGCCTTGGCTTCTTCCAAGCGACCCAGGGCTTTGAGCAGGTTCCCCAGGTCACTACGAACACAGTACAAATCAGGATTGTACTGAAGAGCAGAGACGTAAGCTTGTACTGCTCCTTCCATGTCACCTGCTGCTACCAACGCTGCTGCCAGGATAATATAACCATCAATGAAATCAGGCTTGAGCCGCAAGGCATGTCGGGAATGCTCAATTGCTTCCTGCAACTGCCCTCTTTCCTTGTACACATTCCCCAAATTCGAATAGGCTTCTGCTAGGAGGGGATTCTGTTTAATTGCCAAGGTGCTAAAGTGAGCAGATCTGTCCAGCCTTCGACAGTGGAAGTGTATAGATGAAAGTAATAAAAGGACACCAATATTGTCAGGCTCTTGTCTCCAGAGCTGCATGCAGTGTCTCTCAGCTGCCTCAAAATCTCCTGCCTGATACTCTCTATGTGCCAACTCAGCTAACCCTTGGAAGGAAAGCATACGTTTCGTTGGTTCTGTGCTGTCGGCCACGTAGCCCACGGAAGACGCCATCTGGAGCTTCTTGAAATAGAGCAAGGGGGTAATTGACTTCTCTTGCCGCCACTACTGGCAAAAAAATGTTTCTAGAGGTAGCAGGAAAAGGGCAGCAGCCATATCAGTGTTTTGGAAGGCTTAAGGGGCGGTAGCAGATACTGGACTCGAATCTTAGCAACTCTTGCTAGACATCTACCTCTCACTGTCTTGAAATGGCGGCGACTGCCGCCTTTATTTTTTTTTAAGTTAGTATAAAAGCAAGATAGACTTTGAATTTTAAAAGAATCTTACTTATCTGGTATAGGACTCAGAAAGTGGTTACAAAAGTTTGAATTATTGAATTTGTAAAGGTAGGTAAGGGCCTAAGAGAGCTGGGAGCAGCTGAAGATTCTAGGAACTATGTAGAGGAGACAAGAGTCAGAAATATTTATACAAAAACAAGCTGGTAGGGTTGATTTTAATCTGAAAAAATTGGTTCAGGTATTGGTAAGCATTTATTGAAGAAAGCACAGTTTGAAGTTTCATATGAAGATCAGTGATGTTGTCTTTGACTGTTGCCTAAGTGTGAAAGATGGCATTGATAGTATTCTGATATAAAACTTTGATTTACCAAGATAAAATGAGGATGAGTCCTTAGTTGGGAATTTAGGGGCACAAATTCACTAATCTGTGAAACTAGAATCCTTTATTTAATCCTTAGAAGACTTTTCTGATGGGTGGGTAGTAGGGATTAGCGTATGGGTAGCACAGAAACAGATATCCCAAGATAGTGTAGAAAAGACACAGGGCAGTATATGAAAGTCAGAGTGCAGGCACGATCAGTGTTAGTCTAGGCAGAAGACGGGATTCACATAGCTGGAAATTCACAGACTTTCATATACTAATGCAAGATTCGAACCCTTAGAGACAAAAGATGCCAAAACAAAGCATGCTTTGAGGCATAGTCTATCAAACCAAGTTATTTCTAAACCCAAGGTAACTTTCTAAGTGGAATAGTTTTAGAAATCCAACTGAAGATGTTTGTCCCAAGCTGGAGTTAGGAAAATCTCATAGCGTGATCCATGGGCAAGCTCTTGGGCATTTAGAGGGATGAGAAAGCTGAATAGCACTGAATAGCATTTCTGGTATAATCATACATAGACTTCTCCTCTCTCATACATATGGAGATTTTAGACTTTTTGAGAGGAGCTTAAAATCATCTCTAGGTTTGATGTCTACTGTATATGATTCACTCAGGGCTGAGAACTTTATCTGGTTGACAATGTGGGGTGTGTGTGGGGTTAGTTTGAGTCGAGAGAGATGGCTACAGAGTGGGAATTCTATATGCTTAGCTGTAGTTGGAGTGGTGAGAAAAACTCTTTGTATTTTTTGTATTTTTTGTATTTTTGGTCCCTTTTGTATTTTTCCTGGTAGGTCTTTAAGTTAGACCTGACCCCCAGGCTTAAGATTTAAGGTGAAGTTTCATTAGGGTGCTGATACTGGTCAGCATGGCTCCTGGGGCTGTTTTTTTTTTTTCTTCTTTGGAAGCTCTAAAGAGTTCTCAAAGGAGAAGTTCAACACCAAGGTGGAGGAGGAAAATGCTTAGCCTTAAAGTAGCATAAGTGTATAGAATTTGGATGTGACTCCATATCTTAGAAGAGTGAAAAGCAAGAGTTAGAGCTAGCCTTGCTGAAGCTCAAGCAATAGTGTGGCGAGAAATTGTTTTGAGGTGGACAATGCATTTCCTATTTTTCCCAAAGACGGAAGGGGATGGTCAACATGGTAGAGGTGATAGCTAAAGCTTGTGAGACATGTTGAATTATTTGAGGGACAAAGGCTGAACGGTTACCTCTTTGGAAGAAGTACAGACTCCAAATCTGGAGATTATGTCTTGAAAAGTGCTCAAGTGCCACCCAGGACTCTTTCTGTTTTCACAGGGAAGGCTTCTAGCAAGACTAAAAAGGGGTGAGTAAGGACACACGGGAAATGAAAAAGGGAAAGAGATTAGGGATGTCTACAAGAGAGGTTGAGGGGACATAAGATGGTAAAGCAGACAAGGAGGCAAGGATTTTCACTAAAATATACCTTGTTAGAAATGATGATAATGAGATCTAACACTTTATATACAAATTAAGGACAGAGTGACTGTGTACTTGTGTTTGTCCACAGTTGCGTATAATTTGTCCATGGGTGAAATCCAATTGCTCTCTTGATTCCTGAGTGGGCGAGGAAGTGGGTGGACTGAAACATCGTTGAGGATGGACAGGGTACAGAGAGAGGACAGCTTTGGTAAGATCTGGGAATGCCATTCCCAGCTATGGAGAGGGAGACTAAGGAGCTTGTGGAGAGGCTTTCAACTGATGATGGGCACTAGATTGTGTAGTCTGCTGGGTATTCCCCTGTCATGACCAGCAGGATGGATGATTTTTCCTTGGGAAGAAAACTAGAGCCACTCCTTCTCAGCTTCTTCCTCCTCTATTAGGTCCTCCTAGGTTGTTTGGCTATATTCATGGATAATCGATTGAGTATCAAGGGCCTCAGAGGCTGTAAGTGGGAAAAGAACACCCTTCTTTGTTTCATTATCTGATCCCTATTCCTGTGTTTCTAAACATTGCCCCTCTGATGACCCTTTCAGCAACCTAGGTTGGAACCTGGGTAACCTCTATTAGCTGTATAATAAGAGGTGTATTTAATAGGTAAGTCTTTAGATTTTAAGAATCTTCCTTTGGTCCAGATCACTGCACATGAGTTCAGTACAAGATAAGCATATTTGGAGTCTGTATAAATGCTAAATTGTTTACCTTTTTCTAGGATAAGGGCTCATAAACAAAATCAATTGTGCCTTTTGGGCAGATGTGTTCAGGGGGTAAGGGTGGACTGTCTATAGTTTGGGCCATGATTGTTACTGAATATTAAGAATAAAATTGCTGCAATCTATGAACTGAGTGTGTTCTGGATTTGGAAATATGGAGTCTATTAAGCCTATGGTGGCTTCCTGAGGTTATTCTAAAACTTTCAGGTGCAGATACGCAATGGGTTCTTTTATGGGGAAGAGGGATATGATTTAATAAATTTCAGTAGTGCACAGAAGGTGAATTTCATAATAGGAGGGTCTGGTATTGAGTGGGTCAGATAAGTTACTCATAGGGTACCTCTGATTATTACATAGAGTAGGTATAATTGACGAGTACATACGTAGTTTGATGAGGTAAAAGAAAATATGTTACCCATATGTAAGTTTGTCATGCCAGCTTGCTTGGGTCAGTAGCACAATGGCCGCCACTGCATTAAAGCATGGAGGTCATCTTTTTGTGGTGTTATCGAGCTGTTAGAAAGGAAGTTATGTGTGTAGCTGTAATAACCCTTTGATCTGATGTGAAGAGGAAGTAATTGCTGGTTGAACTGAGCCTTTGTGGAACAACTGTGTATCCCTGTTGGCCTAGGAAATTTAGGAGAGTGACAGGAACCTAGAGTGCACTTGGCGGGAAGGACTATAGAGGAGAAGGCCATCCCCATACTGCACAAGGGTGCTATGAGGAAGGAGAAGGAAGATCTTAAGCAAGGGTTCTCCTACAAATATGACTTGTTTTAGAATTTTTGGAAAGGCACTGTCCAGGTATGCTGCTAGGGGTCATGAGTGTCAGGATTATGACTTGGGATGAAAGAAAATGACCCTGAGACTCAGGGAACCGGCATATGTTGAAAAAAGTAAAACATGGAGTATTACACAGCACAGTACTGAAGAGGGTCTATGGGTTGGTGTAGCGCGCGCAATGGCGCCGTCATGTCGTGGGCATGGAGCTTGGGTGCCATTTGCTGTTCCACGGCAAACTTGGTAAAACAACTTGTGAGCATGTGCACAAGCTTCCCCTAGGGGCGCGCAGGAGGTGGGGGGGAGTCTTTCGATCTGGCCATCCGATCTGGCCAATCATAATTTAGCACAATCACTCCACTCTGGCCTGAGCCATTGGGTTGATGACACGTCAGGGCTTTGTCTGGCACTGTATATATTCTTCTGCTCCCACGGGGACAGGGTCTTCTTGCCTCTCTCAATTCTCAAGTGTAAGCGCTCCAATAAAGTGTGTTCTGAGAAGAATCGTGTTGTGGTCATCTCTTCTGCTGGCGGAAGCAGCAGCATCCCGCAGGTTGGGTCAAAAGGGTCTTGAGTTAGATGGTATGCTCCATAAGGCTACTTGCCATGGAAAACAGGAGTATTACACAGGGTAATTAAGGAAATTAGCCTCTCAGAACTTGGAAATCAGAGTTTGGGAGTTATTTGAGAACCTTGGATTAAGGGGGTATTGAGGTTTGCATTGTAAAATAGTCTTTCAATTTGATGAAGACAGAATATATGATGTTCTGATCGGTGTTGATGTGTCTCAGACAGAGGAGCCTGAGTGGTTATTAAGGTGAATGTTTTGGAGGGCAGAGAGACTTTTACGTTCTGATGGACCATAGTTAATTAGCATGCCAAGAAATTAGTTTGAGATGATTTGGGGTCCCAATGTAGTCTTGTGTCCAGCTTTGAAATACCTGAATTAAATAAAGGAACTGGGCAGGAAAGCTAAAACCTGTTTTCCTATAGCAAATGGTAACCTTTCAGGGAAGAGAGGGTGCTATTGATTCCAACTATTGAGGTCATAGGCAAAGAGGAGTGCTTAAACTTTGGGCAGGACAGACTAAGCAACTCTACTACATAGCAGAAAATAAGATACTGCCCACGGAGAAAGCTACTCTGGGGTCATCCAGTTTAGATGGTACAAGATGGCACTTGGTATGATCCTGTGATATGTCAGCTGGTTTCATGTAGTAGGCCCAGAAAATTTGTTGCTGGAGAGAGCTGGATCCCTTTTGCCATTAAGGTTGGGTATGGGTGAGTTTGACTTTTCTTTTAAGGGAAGGACTCTCTTTTAAACTCTAATTTATAGGCTGGGCAAGACATAGGAAGATGGGTCTTTAATTGGGGAAGGGGGGTTATTGTTCCAATGGCCAGGGTAAGTATACCTTAAACATGAGCTAGAATGTGTTTGGGATTGAAAGAAGGTTGGTATCTGTCTCTTGGGATAACTTTGAAATGGGAGATCTCCAGAGATAGAGCTGCTTTTTATCCTAGGAATTTCTTTGGCTTCTTTTCTGTATTTTTCCTAATCCTGTGCATCCTACTTATTAAATAACGAAGAAAGGCATGTGAATTTGTTTTGTGGGAACTGTGGACATTTTCATAATTTGCATCTGCTA